ATTAATGTCAAGACAGAACTTTTATGCACATTTGAACACCACTGATACCAGGTTATGTCATATAATGGATGGTCTTATAATAATAATTTTACAGTCTTAGTGACACATAAAATGACAGTGTGCACCATTCATGGTGCCTTGAATTGGATGGAAATCAGCATTCAGTAAAGATCCTCATCAAGTTTTGAACCCTTATAACACAGGTTGTTTCCCATGTACGCACATCTCCTTTAGCTTACTGCTGGGCTAAGAGGAAGGCTGAAATTTTACTTGTTAAATTTGGAGAGAGTTCTAGAACCAGAAATAAGGAGGAGATTTGCTACGTTTAATTAAGGAAACTCCAGCCTGAATGTGTTATCGGGCTTGTCTGAATTTACAAAGCGGAAAGCAAGTGACCAGCAGGGCCACACACAGAACCCACTCTTGTTCTGTCTTCGTTTTTCCCATCATTTGATCTTTTCAGTGTTTGAATATGCACCCTGTGAGGCTGTTGCTGTGCCCTCGAGAGCGGCCAGAACACCTGGAGGTGATGAGGCCCCTTCTCCCGTGGCCCAGGCTCCTGTGTGTCTGCCCGCTGAGGCTCACTCTGTCGCCGGAGCCCCTGTTGGTAGGGCTCGTCCCTTTGCATGTGCACCGAGTGGACTGCCGGTACTTTTCCTCCGAGAGAACAAGTCCAGATTGTTACATTTCAGGTTTTCATGTCCTTCTGTATTTTTCCGAATCATTTCACACTCAGTGCAGAGTGCCCACATAGCGTGTAGCCTGGACGCTGTGGTGGTCGTGTATGATCCTGTGAATACATGTCCAGGTATTGAAGGATATTTTAAAAATCGTGGGCAAGGGGCACCTGGGTGGCTCAGTGGGTTAAGCTGCTGCCTTCGGCTCGGGTCATGATCCCAGGGTCCTGGGATCAAGTCCCGTATCGGGGTCTCTGCTCGGCGGGGAGCCTGCTTTTCCCCCTCTCTCTCTCTCTGCCTGCCTCTCTGCCTACTTGTGATCTCTGTCTGTCAAATAAATAAAAAAATCTAAAAAAAAAAAAAAAAAAAAATCATGGGCAAAGGCCCGGTGATGATAAGAGTGGCGGTGACATGGGAGTGCGTGCATTTGAAGAAGTAGAACAAGGCCACGGGTCCGCTGCAGAGCAGAGTGTGGGCCAGGCCACAAACACCCTCACGGCCCATCTTGCTGACTTCTGCCCTCATTCTGAGAACCAAGGGAAGGTTCTGGAGATTTTTGCTTTTTGTTGGTTGTATCAGATCATTCCCGAAGACTGGATTTTGTGTGTGCTGGGGTGGAGGGCGTGTTCAGAGAGGACGGCAGCTCTTTGCTGGAGAGCAGTTTCTGTGGGTGGACTGGGGTGAGAGCCTGAGTGGGTGGAAGAAAATGGGGACGGCATGCAGAGACTGTTCATTACTTAAGGATAAAGCAGAGCACTGAACCCATTTTTCCACTCTCCTTCTACTCCCGGGTCCCTGGAAACCTCCCTATTCTCTTACCTTCACTTGGGTCACCCCCAGGGCAGTCTGGGTCCGAGGGTCACCATGTCCCTGCGTGTCCTTGAGCACATCTACTTGGACGACTCCCTGCCGTCTCACCCCCATCTCAAGCTCGCTGGGTCCGAAATCCACTCTCTCTTGCGTCCTCCAAACACTTGCTTTCCCTAATTCCTTGGCTTGGTCATTGGTTGTGTCCTATCTGACTCCTGCCGCGCTACCCATCCCCCAGCCTGCCCTACGAACAGCCCAAAGTTTGTCGTCACCCAGAGGCTTAGGTCTTGCTGATTCACTCTCTTGTTTCTTGGATTTATTCTGTGCTTTCCCTTCTCACTGTCACTGCTTCCTTGTCTTTTGACTGGCCTGCTATACCTCTTAGTGTTTCAGGTAGAAAAGGGCATGGGGGGGCACCGGGGTGGTTCATTCGTTAAATGTCTGCCTTCAGCTCGGGTCATGATTTCAGGGTCCTGGGATTGAACTTCGCATCAGGCTCCCTGCTCAGTGGGAAGCCTGTTTCCCCCTCTCCCCCTCCCCCTGCTTGTGTTCCCTCTCACTGTGTCTCTCTCTGTCAAATAGATAAATAAAATCTTTAAAAAAGAAAAGAAAAAAGGGCATTAGGGATGCCTGGGTGGCTCCTTTGAGCCTCTGCCTTTGGCTCAGGTCATGATCTTGGGGTCCTGGGATCGAGCCCTGCATGGGGCTCCCTACTCAGCGGGGAGCCTGCTTCTCCCTCTGGTTCCGTCTCTCCCTCTGCGTGTGTGCTTTTTCCCTCTCAAATAAATAAATAAAATCTTAAATGAGAAATGGGCATTGTGATACCTACCCTGAAATTTTGCTAGGAGCAGTAATTTAAATGGCATTTGTGAAACAGGGAACAGAGGGGCTGCCTATTTCCTCTTCGCAAATTTACCTCCCTTGTTCATGTTTAGCGACACCCTTTCGTTTTTGCCCTGCTACCAGAGTTGTCTCCTTTTTAAGCTCCTTCGTTTTTTTTTCCTCATTTCTTGCAGGGCAGCCAGACCTCCTTCAAGTCTCAGGCCAGGCTCCAGATCGGATCCCAGCCCTCAGGCTCTGCTGTTGGCTCTCACAAGCCTTCGTTACTTCTTATGTCCCAGCCACATCACATGACTCGATGTTGTCTCAAAACTCTATTTTGACTTTGCTTTGTGGTTTTTGAATCAGAGGGCCCATTTCTCCTTTCTCTTTATCCTCTGATTGTTTTAATGAGACCAGAATTTATTACATAGTTGGTAGGAATGTTATATATGTATAATATATATGTGTATGTATGTATGTATAGGTCTGTGTGTCTTCATAGGCCCATGTATGTATCCCACAAACTGTCGATCATCACAAGGGGTTGGTAGCATCAGGTCAGCTCTGCCGTCTATTAGACAAAAATAAAGTCTCTAAATTTGGTGCGTTTACATCTGTTAAATGAAGGGGGGTTTAAGTGGTTGGTCTTTTTTGTTCCTGCCCTTTGTAGAGTCCTGGGCCTGAACTTAATTATAACCCGGGGAATTATAGAGCAGTTCTTCGAGAAGAACCGAGATAACTCACCCAGATTCTTTGCTTTCTGGTGGAATTTAAAGAATTGAGATATATGGCTAGTTCACAGGATTACGGAAACAAGAATTAGTATGTGGTGAGTGGCAACCCCTATATGGACATTGTGTGATTTTGATCCTTTGAACCCCCATGAGGTAAGGAGGTATTTTACAGATGAGGAAATTGAGGCCTAGAGAGGTGGTTATTTGCTTAAGATACAAAGCTTGTTAGGCTGTCTTAGCCACGAGGCTCCCAGCAACCAGTGGTGCTGAGTACAACATCGTGTGCTCTAGCTTTTGCCAGCTGTGGTTTCCCAACACTGATTATTCCCTAGACCAGACACTATTTTACGGTAGACGGTTTGGAAAAATAGTTTTAGTTCAGTGTACGTGTTCATCCTAGCCTTTATGTTCTTTTCCCTTTCCCTCCCAGACAGTATTTCTATGGTAAATATCACCAAGGCCATAAAAATATTTGGCTGTCTGTTGTGTTAATTTTGTTAGTTATGAAATGTATTATGTGCATGCCTTGTATTTAAACTGGACAGAAAGCAAATGTTTGCTTAATAGAATCGGAAAGAAATGAAATTCATGGCAGATAAATGCGTAGTCTTTTTTGGGAAAGATTTATTTATTCGAATGCACTCACACACATGAGCAGGGGAGGGGCAGGGAGGGAGGGAGAGAGAGAATCTCGAGCAGACTCCCTGATGAGCACAGAGCCTGACCTGGGGCTTGATCTCATGACCGTGAGATCATGAAGTGAGCCAAAATCAAGAGTTGGATGTTCAAATAAATGACAGCCACCCCCAGCCCCTGGATCAATGCATATTCTTAATACGTTATCACTTTTATGTATCTGGAGTATCTACATAGTTCCAAATGAAGGATTTGGTTCCTTGGGTTAAGTGGTGGTGGTGGGAATAATGAGGCCAACAGCTAACATTGTCGAGCTCTTGCCATGTGTGTATGTGTTACATTTGTTATATACATGTTACATGCATGTTTCTAAGTGCTTTATGTTAGCTTTTTTTTTTTTTTAAAGATTTTATTTATTTATTTGCGAGAGACGGAGAGAGCGCACAAGCTGGAGGAATAACAGGCAGAGGGAGAAGCAGGCTTCCCGCTGAGCAGGGAGCCCAATGCGGGACTCGATCCCTGGACCCCGGGATCATGACCTGAGCCGAAGGCAGATGCTCAACCATCTGAGCCACCCAGGTGTCCCTATGTTAGCTTTTAAAACCTCTCCATAAACATCAGAGACATGTACTTTTGTTATCTCCTTTTTACAGATGTGGTAATCAAAGCCCAGAGAGAGTAGGAAACTTATCCAAGGTTACTACACTGTCTTGGCAGTTCTAAATCTGAGTTAATTCAAATTTGCATGGTTCACCATTTAAATACATTATTGAAGTATCTCTCCACTAATGTTATTGTCTCCTTTCCTGGGATCTGAACTCAGTGTGTTTTTTAGGGGGATTGGTAACAGATTATCTTCAAAGTAAAAACGGCTAGGCCTAGTGGAGTACTGAGTTATCTTCAAGGAACTAAGGCAGTCCTTCTCACTGTGTGTTTTTAACAAAAGTATTTTTAAAATTCAGGTATGAAATGCACATTCAGGAAGATCCTTTAATTGTAAAAGATACCATTGAAATGGAAAATTTCATATGTTTAAATGCTGCCTGCTGGGTGGTGCCTTGCTTTGGATTACAGGAGATAAGGAGTATTTATAAGGTTTGGCAGGAATAGGTAAAGCAAACATCTTTTCTAATTAGCAAGCTATAATATTGAATTCAGAAATTGTGTTTTACCAAAAGAAAGTTTGAGCTGATAGAGACCTACAGTTTTTATAAGCTTGAGGAAATTTCTCTTTCCTAAGAAATAATACTACGGATATTGTGTGATAAGTTTTAATGCCTTTATGTTCAAGTCCATATTTACACTCCTTCTGTTTTTTTAGCTCTGAAAAGGACATGGATGAAAATGAAAGCAGCCAGTCCCTGATGACGAGCAGCCAATATCCAAAAGAAGCAGTAAGAAAACGCCAAAATTCAACCCGGAGCTCTGTAGGAAGTGATTCTTCTAGGTTTTCCAGGAAAAGTTTCAAACTGGATTACAGACTAGAGGAAGATGTAACTAAATCAAAGAAAGGAAAGGATGGCAGATTTGTTAACCCATGGCCGACGTGGAAAAATCTCTCCATTCCAAACGTTCTCAGATGGCTGATAATGGAAAAAGATCACAGCAGTGTTCCAGGCTCCAAGGAGGTAGAATTTGGTTTTCTTGTGTGTGGGGGGATGCATATTTACTCTTATTATTACTTAATTTTGCTGTGAATTGTATTATGGCACTCCTTTTGAGCCCCTTTTATGTGATAAGACCTAGGGCCAGGTTCTGGGGAGAAAATTGAACACAGTGCCCTTAAGTTGATAATTAAGCAACGAAGTACATATATTAATAACCAGATCTGATCTGTGGCAACTAGAGGTAGGAATAGAGCATTTTAGATGTATGGGCAAGGAAGCAATTGATTCTAGCTGGTGGGGCTGGAGATGGCTTCCTGGAGGAGGCCGTATGTACTTGAGCTGGGCCTAGAAAGACGAAAAACGTTTTGGCAGTGGTTTTCATGTGTGTGATGGCATGAACAAGGTCATGGAGAGCAGTAAATACAGGACATGTACCGTGCAATAGGAACCTGATTTTTGTTTGGAATATGAATTATGAAGCTTAAGACATTGCCCAGAGTGCTTGGCTTCCCCCGCCCTGCCCCGCATCCTTGGATAAAGCTGTTAAAGCTAGAAAAGAGATTTTCAGATAACTTATCCAGACCTTTAAAAATTGGCAGTAGAGGGGCGCCTGGGTGGCTCAGAGGATTAAAGCCTCTGCCTTGGGCTCAGGTCATGATCCCTGGGTCCTGGGATTGATACCCACATCAGGCTCTCTCCTTGGCGGGGAGCCTGCTTCCTCCTCTCTCTCTCTGCCTGCCTCTCTGCCTACTTGTGATCTCTCTCTGTAACATAAATAAATAAAATCTTTAAAAAAAAATTGGCAGTAGGTCACTGACCTTTAAATATGTGTGTTTTACCTAGGATAAAATGTATTAACATTGGGCATGCAGCTTATTAGAGCAGTGTGGTTCTATTTGCAATGGGGTGGGTGGCTCCTAATTGCCAGAGCCTTCCCCCCTCCCACCACCTTTCTTAATTTCTTGCCCCATTTCACCACCTGTCTCCTTTGGCCTCTCTTTTCTACCAACCCCTGTCCTGCTAGGTTTTGTGGGGAGTGGGGAGAGCGGGAACTTGATGTTGGGAGTGGGGGATGGGATGAAAAGAGTGGGGGCATCCTTGATGGCTTGATCTGTGGTGGGAAGCATAGCAGGGGTGTGAGTTGGTGGGGGTTGGGATGGAGGTGGCGGGAGATCCTTTACCTTGGTAAGTGTTGTTGCTCTTGTTTTTAAGGATATGGGATTAAAAAAACAAAACAAAACCCTGATATTGTCACTTTGATGCTAAGGAATGTACACAGTATTAATCCTAGTTAACAAATTCATTACTGTGAATAATACTTTTCCAACACCTTGTTAGAATGAGGCAGGGCGTTAATAGATAAAACCTGACAACATGGGGCGCCTGGGTGGCTCAGTGGGTTAAGCATCTGCCTTCACTCAGGTGAGGATCCTGGAGTCCTGGGATCGAGTCCCACATCGGGCTCCTTACTCAGCAGGGAGCCTGCTTCTCCCTCTCCCTCTGCTGCTCCCCCTGCTTGTATACTCTCTCTCTCTGTCAAATAAATAAAATCTTAAAAAAAAAACCCACCCCAACACAAACCTTACTACGTGTTTCAACTTTGACAATGGGAGGAACAAGAACCCTCCCCCCGACTTGTTTTCTCCTCCTGGAGAACCAGTATGAAGAGCAGCATGGACCTCAGCTGTGAAGAGGAGGGGTGGGGCTGGAGGCCCAGACGGATAGGCTACCACTGTGCAGTGTATTTCTTCCCTTTTTTTTTTTTTCTTTAAAGAAATTATATATTTAGAGAGCACATGTGCCATAGTGGGTGGGAGGCAGGGAGAGGGTGGATGGGCAAAGAGAGAGAAAAAATCCCAAGCAGACTTCGTCTTGAGTGCAGGCCCAACATGGGGCTCGATCTCATGACCCTGAGGTCATGACCTGAGCCAAAATCCTCAAGCGACAGAGCCACCCAGGCGCTCTTCTGGTTTGATGAGTCACTGGTTCTAAAACTGCAGAAGTAAGCGATGGTAACTTTAGTTCTGTTCTATTTCACTTGGGAAATGAGTGATCACATGAAGGCAGAAATACATCTGCGCCTTCTAAGGATTCGGAGATATTCTAGAAACTGGGTTGAATCTCTGAGAACTTTCCAGGCTAGTGGTTTTGAAGCTCTTATCCTGGTGCCTTTTGAAAATCTGATGAAAGCTGTGGACCCTTTTTTATAATTTCAGTGAGTTCATGGACCCTCTCAGGCTCTTCCAGTAACTCATTCATTCACTCATTTATTCGTTTAATGAGTATTTACCGAGCACCTGCTGTGGGCCAGGCACACAGTTCTAGGTGGTGGAGACAGAGCCATCAACACAGCAGAAAGACGCCCTGCCATTCTTAGACCTTAGGTTTAGTGGAAGAGAGAAACAGTAAACCGATGGGTGGATTATGTGGTCTATTAAAACATGACTAGTGCTTTGAAGAATAAAAAAACAAAGAAGGAAATTAGGGTGATGCATTCTTTAATGAAGTGTAAGTTTTTTTTTTAAAGGTAGGAGATTTTAATTTTAATTTTTTTTAAAGATTTATTCATTTATTTTAGAGTGCAGGGGAGGAACAGAGGGAGAGGGAGAGAGAAACTCAAGCAGACTCCATGCTGAATGTGGATGGAGCCCGATGAGGGGCTCGATTCATGACCTATGGGATCATGACCTGAGCCGAAACCAAAAGTCAGATGCTCGGCAGACTGTTCCACCTAGGTGCCCCAGCAGACTTTTTAAGTTGAAGTATAGGGGTGCCTGGGTGGCTCAGTTGGTTGAGCATCTGCCTTTGGCCGGGTCTTGGTCCTAGAGTCCTGGAATCGAGCCCCACATTGGGCTCCCTGCTTGGCTGAGAGTCTGCTTGTCCCTCTCCCTCTGCCCTACTCGTGCTCTCTCTCTCTCAAATACATAAGTAACATCTTTAAAAAAATAAATTGAAGTATAGTTGACATATAATATTGGTCTGAGATGTATAACATTCTGATCTGGAAATTACATCCATTACTCAGTGCTCACCGCTCACCGATAAGTGTAGGTACCCATTGTCACCACACAAAGTTATTACAGTATTATTGACTCTGTTTACTATGCTGTACTTTTCATTTCTTAACTTTATTTAATTCATGTGTGGGGGGCAGAGGGAGAGAATCTCAAGCAGGCTCCATACCACCCAGCATGGACCCTGAGGCAGGGCTTGATCCTACGACCCTAAGATCACAACCTGAGCCAAAATCAGGAAACACTAATTTTCCTGAACCGAATGAACCACCAAGACACCCCCCCCCACAACCCCACATGACTTAATTTATTTTACAGCTAGAAGTTTGTACCTCTCAGTTCCCTTAATCCATTTTACCCCTTCCCCTCCGCACCTCCTCTCTGGCAACCCCCAATTTGTTCTCTGTATGTATGAGTCTGTTTCTTTAAGTTTGCTTGTTTGTTCACTTTTGTTTTTCACATTCTACATATAGGTGAAATCATACGGTATTTGTCTTTCTCTGTCCAACTTATTTCACAGTTGATTATTAGCTTGAAAAGCTGAGATCAGGATGAGTCTTAGTTGGTATTAAATGCAATTCTTTCACAACAGAAACCAGCAAACACCCTTCAAGATGAAATTATCTATTCATCTATTGATGGACACTTAGATTGCTTCTGTATCTTGCCTATTGTAAATATAGTTAACCCTTGAGTACAGATAGCATACAATGTGTGTGTTAATGGATTGTTTGTTATTAGTAAGGCTTCTGCTCAACAGTAGGCTATTACTAATTAAATTTTGGGGATGTCAAAAATAATGCATGGGTTTTTGACTGTGCAAGGGTCAGTTGCCCTAACCCTCACATTGTTCAAGGATCCGTTTTCATATTGTAGTAAATATAGGTGTGCATAAAATCTTTTTAAATTAGTGTTACCTTCTTCAGATAAGTACCCAGAAGTAGAATTGCTGAGTCATACCGTATGTCTGTTTTTAATTTTTTAGGAAACCTCCAAACTGCTTTCCACAGTGGTTGCACCAATTTACGCTACCAGCAGTGCATGAGCAATACCTTTTTTCCACATCCTTACCAGTGCTTGTGACTGACTATTTGAGTGGTGTGAGTGGTGTGAGGTGGTATCTCATTGTGGTTTTGATTTGCAGTTCCCTGATGAGTGATGTTGGGTATCTTTTCATGTGTCTGTTGGTCATCTGTATGTTTTCTTTGGAAAAATGTCTATTTCGGTCCTCTGCCCATGTTTTAATTGGATTATTTGGTTTTTACTGTTGGGTTGTATGGATTCGTTATGTATTTTGGATGTTAACCCCTTATCAGGTATATCATTTGCAAAGATTTCCTGTTCAGTAGGTTGCCTTTTTATTTTATTGATGGTTTACTTTACTATGAAAAAGTCTTAGTTGGATGTGGTCCCAATTGATTTAGTCTTGGAAGATGGTATGTTTCTAGGAATATATCCATTTCTTTTAGGTTATATAATTTGTTGGCATGTAATTTTTGTAGTGGTCTCTTATCCTTTGTATTTCTGTTTTGTCTGTTTTAACTTCTCTTTCATTTTTGGTCTTATTTATTAGAATCCTTTATTTATTTATTAATTTATTTATTTTCAAGAACCAACTTTTTGTTTCATTGATCTTTTCTATTTCAAGTGTCTATTTTCATTTCTTTCTGCTCTGATCTTATGTCATCAGAGCTGCTGTTTCCTTATTTTATTTCTAGATGATCTATCCATTGATGTAAGTTGGTGTTAAAGTCCCTTAGTATTCGTGCATTACGGTCAACTTTTCACTTTACATCTGTTAATATTTATTTTATATATTCAGGTGTTCTTATGTTAGGTGCATAAACGTTTACAGTTGTTAAAGCATCTTGTTGGCTTGAGCCCCTTATTATGTAATTGCCCTCTTTGTCTCTTGCTACAGTCTTTGATTTAAATTCTATTTTGAGTGATAGAAACATTGTACCCCAGCTTTTACCTTTTACCCCCCCTTTCCCTTATGCATGGAAG